GAAAATTTTAGTAGGGTTTTAGTGAGTCAAATACCATGCAGGCTTCTGAGACTGTGTAGTGCTTAAGAGGTCTGCCTGCTTTGACAGTATCCCAGACCTTATATCCTGTTTTATTAGAAAGAAGACTATAGAAGTTGGGACAGCAGCTGAAATTACTTTGGAGGCATTAATGATATCTGGCAGTTCTTGATGAAGGATCTACAGAGAGCTGGGCTGGCTTGAGTTGTCTTTGCTAGAAGGCAGTTTAAAGGTCTTCAGGGGTAAAAGGCTGCTGAAAAAATGATGGGCTGTGGATTTACTGCTCTGTGGCAGCCAGACCTGACCAGTGAGTATGGCCTGTGTCCATAAAGCTTGCTCTTTCCTTGCAGGATCACATCATGGAAATTTTTTCTACTTACGGAAAGATTAAAATGATTGACATGCCAGTTGACAGGCTAAACCCTCACCTCTCCAAAGGTTATGCTTATGTGGAGTTTGAGAACCCAGATGATGCTGAGAAAGCCCTGAAACACATGGATGGAGGTAGGTATCATCTTGCAAGGAGCCTGGGGGTATCTAAAAATCTTCAGAGTAGATGAATTTGATCTGAAAGTGGGTTAAAGGTGATAGGGATGTCTTTGGGGAACTGATCTGAAATACTGTCAGCTTTCAGCCCAAATGGCTTTTGTGTGTTTCAGGACCGATCCAAAACATCACAGAACTATTAAAACTGATTTTTTTTTCGAAACAGTGGTAAGATTCTTTAACTTGGAAAGATTTTCACAGAAACTTAACATCTGAGCTGCAGTTTGGTAGGATATTAGATTAAGAAGTCTAGTATGTGTGTGGACTTTGTCAGAGTAGCCCCTGAGTGGGGGCTGGAGGCGGCACTGTGGGCTGATCCCGCTTCAGTCGCTTGTGACAGAGCCGTGAGTTGCAGTAAATGTGATGGATGTGTAGATGTTGGTGTTGAAAAATACTGACTCCGGGCTGTTTGTGTGGTCCCCAAAGGCCAAATCGATGGGCAGGAGATCACTGCCACAGCCGTGCTGGCCCCGCGGCCCCGGCCGCCCCCCCGGCGCTTCAGCCCCCCCCGCAGGATGCTGCCACCGCCCCCAATGTGGCGCCGCTCACCCCCGCGCATGAGGAGAAGGTGAGAGCCGTCACAACTTGTGTTTCCTTCTCGGTGTAACAGCACGCTACTGCTGAAGTTCTTGGCGTGGGGACAATCCTGTTGGACTTGACTTTCCCCTCCAAGTGACAGGAACACTTTTGGGCAGTTGTTGAACCTGGATTGCAGTTGCCAGCTCCTCAGTAGCTCCGAGGTGACCTGCCCTGGTCTGCACCCCGGATGCAGCCTGTGGGAAAGGTCAGGTGCTCCCCACCCTGTTCCCTGGAGCCCCTTCTGCATAAAGGCTTTGAGGGGAACAGACTCTGGCTGGCAGGACACTTGTGGCAGCCTGCACCAGCTGCCTGTTTTTTGGAAGTCCTTGTATCTCCCACCCTTATTTCTTAATGGGCACGTGACCAAAAAGCAGTCCTGTGTCAGGCGAGTGGAGTACACCGGCCCCAAGGTGTGACCTGACGTGCACATGCCCATTGTGTGACTCAGGGCTACCTGATTGTGCGCAGATAAGTTGTTCTTAGTCTTTACATAGGCTCCTCTGTCTTAGAAATTTGCTTAAATTTATATCAGTACTAACTTGATTGCTGAACAGCTTTGAGCCATAGGTTTAAAAATGAGCGCTGGTTACCCTGACAAAAGATCCACTGCCTGTTAGTCCTCCTTTAAACACACCTTCTGCTGAGGTCTGCCAGGTGCAGGTTTGCTATTCCCTCCTCCTTTGTTTTCTTCCCCAGTCCAACTTTTACTGTCCTGTTAAAGTTCTGTTAATATTCTGTGCCTGGAACCCTGATGTCATAGCAGTGGTCATACAGGTTGATTGTAGTACTGAAGAGCTTGAAGGTAAACCATTTCTTGAGGTTATTTCCTCTAAGGAACTTCCCTGGAATTTAAAAGGGCTTGGATAAGCCCTCCCCTGAATATCATTGTTTCAGAAGTCAAAGCTGACTTCAGGTGAAGGAGAATCTGATGTAGAATGAATTTGAGCTCATTTTCCTTGAGGAAGAAGATAAGTTTCTTGTCTGTTGTTTGGATACTCAACATTCTTTCCAGTTCCTGAAGCAGAGGTAGGATAGTTGGGATATTCCTGCTGTGTAGTCAGTGTTTGAATTGCCCTTTTCCTCTCTGGAGCTCTCGATCTCTTTTCCCATGGGGTGTGAGGGATTTTGGAGGGAGGCTGGGAAGTGTTTTTAAAGAACTAACCAAATACTCAAACCTGTTGCTGTTATCTGCTAACGGAAGCTTCCTCCTCCTTCTCCTGCCCTGCCAGGTCCCGGTCTCCGCGGCGCAGATCCCCCGTCCGCCGGCGATCCCGATCCAGATCTCCCGGACGAAGGCGCCATCGCAGCCGCTCCAGCTCCAACTCCTCCCGATAAAGCAAAAGGACTGGACAGCTTTTTATTTTTTAACTTAAATCCCATCAGACTATATATTGTACATTTTTTTTATAACGAGTCTGGGTGAGGAGGAGTGAGAGAGGTAAGGTGGCAGTGAAGGCAACCTAAGAGGAGAGAGCACCAGTTCCTGGCCAGTAACCTTTGCTACTGGGGTTCCTGGCATTGAATAGAAATTATTTTAAAATGGCTTTGATTTTAAAGGCTGCAAAAACATCTTTTCCAGGTAGAGGGAAGGAAAGATGTTTCAGCCCCTCTTTCTCCAGTTAGCAGGTTGCTGCTTGGTGATTGTAAATGCTTAGCATGCTGTACAGATCAGCATGTAAATCTTGAGCTGTTTCAGAACCCCAGTGAGTAAGCCAGGGGGGGCATTTATTTTGATCTCTAGGTGCCAGCACAAGATTTTTCGGGGCAGCTGGAGTCCAGACCTGCCCAAAACTTTAATTAAATGCAGAGTTGTTGCTTTATTGCAGTGCCCCATGATGATTAGTTTCTGCCGAGTGAGCTCTTCTGTAACACTTATACCAGGAGATCACCTCAGAAGCAATGGTCCAGCCCACTGAACATGACACTTTAGAGAAGAAGCTGGAAATCCTAAGAACAGTTCTGTAGCTGCCCCGTTAATTGATTTCTTTCACTTTTTCTTTGAGGGTGTTGATAAAAACTTCTTACACAACCCCCAGTAAAACAGTGTGAGTGCTTCTGCTTTTACAAATCCCAAATGAGTGACTGAGCGCCAACCTCCTGGAAACTGCAAGTCAGAGAGGGAGGCTCAAGGTCACAGTGCTGGCTGGATTATCTGGGGTTCACACAGGGAGAGGCAAAGAATTTACCACCTGTTGTACAGCCAATACTATACAGACTTTTTTTTGTTTTGTTTTGTATAACTTTGTAGCCTTTTGGGCCATGTTGTGTTTGTACTTGTGTAGGACCAGCAATTACTGAATAAAGCAGTAGGTTGAGAGTAGCTGTCTTTTTTGCTGCCTCGGTGTGGGCATGTGGGGCCCTTCCTGGGGATTCAGTGCTGCGGGAAAGGGCCCTGGGTATCCTGGTCCATGGCCACTTGGCCATGAGTCAGCGGTGCCCTGGCAGCCAGGAGGGCCAGCCCTGTCCAGGGGGGCATCACTGGCCTGGCCAGGGAGGGGATTGTCCTGCTCTGCTCTGCCCTGAGGCGGCCTCACCTGCAATATTGGGGGGCACTGCAATAAAAGAAAAATATGAAGCCATTAGAGAGTGTCCAAAGGAGGCAATGAAGATGGGGAAGGGCCCTGAGGGGAAGGCATGTGAGGACACTGAGGGCACTTGGTGTTTTCAACTGCAGAAGAGGAGAATGAGGGGAGACCTCACTGCAGTTCCATCTTCCTCAGGTGGGGCAGGCCCTGAGGTCTGCTCAGTGGGGACCAGGGACAGGAGCCAGGGACTGGCCTGGACCTGTGTCAGGGCAGGGTCAGGTTGGATGTCAGGAAAAGGTTCTTCCCCAGAGGGTGGTTGGGCACTGACCAGGCTCCCCAAGGCTGCCAGAGCTCCAGGAGGGTTTGGCTGATCCTCTGGGGCACATGGTGTGACTCCTGGGGATGGTCACTGCAGGGTGAGGGTTGGACTCGATATCCTTGTGGGTCCCTTTCAGCTCGGCCCGTCCCGTGACTCTCCCTCAGCGCAGCCCCGCCCCCGCCGGAGGCGCCGGGCTCTTGAAGAGGGGCGGGGCTTGTCTGCAGCTCTACGGGGCTGGCGCCGCTGATTGGCTGTGCGCGAGGCACATGGGCGCCGCTGATTGGCGGCCGCCGCAGGGTGGGGGGTGGGGTTTTTTCCTCAGCGCGATGGCGGCGCCGGCGGGGCGGAGCTGGAGCGCGCCCTGCGCGAGGCGGCGGCGGCGTTGGGCCGGGCGGGGGCCGCAGAGGGCACCGGGCAGGGCCCTGCTGCGGCGCTGGCGCGCGGTGCTCTCCGCCCTGTCGGCTGCGGGCGGCCCAGCGCGCGCTCGGGGAGCGGGAACGGGCGCAGTTTTGGCGCCTTCCTGCGGCAGCCTGGCCTCGGGCGCCCGCGCGGCGCGGCCCGATGGCGAGTGCAGCGCTGCTTCCTCGAGGGCCCGCCGGCCTCGCCCTCCTGCATCCTGCTCGAGGCCCTCGGCTCCGCGGGGTCAGTGTGGCCTCAGGGGCAGGCGGCGGGGTCTGGGGGTGCCCGCCGGGGATGGGGGTGGGCGCGGGGAGCCCTGGGCTGCCCTGAGCCCCCGCACACCCCACACGCGGTACGGGGCGTCCCGCAGTCGCGGGGCTCCTTCAGGCCTGGTTATTGAATGAATGTGCTGAAGCGTTTGGAGACGATACAAAGGAATTAAAATCGCTTTGGTTTTAATTTGATTGTTGAGTATAATTCAGTGTTAACAGAGCAGCGGTGTTTCAGTGGTGAGACCACAAGTGAAAAGCAATTGCACGCGCATCTTATTTCTGCCATTTGCGAGGGGCAGCGACTTAGAGCAGTCTCTCTCTTCCAGCCCCGGGCTCGCGCCGAGGGAGGCGGCGGCGATGCTGGAGCGGTTCCTGCGGGAGGGGCGGCTGTCGGCGCTTCTGTGGGACGGGTGTCAGCAGCAGGCGCACGGTGGGTGCCCGGAGCAGCAGGACGCCCTGCTCAACAGAATCGTGTGTTTGCCTGAGCACGTGAGCAATAAACTCCAGGGGGAAAATCCGCCGGTGTTCTTCCCGCAGAACTACTTCCCTCTCCTGGGAGCTGCAGTTCTCCAGGTGCTGCAGATGATCTCCGACTCTCTGCGAGGTAAGGAAGGACTGCGCTGGAGGGATGACTTTTCTGAACAAGTGTTTTGTGCATGGACCCCTTGGCTGCTGCTTGAAATACAGATGATGAGTGTTGCAGAACCTCACGTTCCTTCTTCAGGCTATCCTAAAAGCATAAGATCCCAGGGATGAGGAAGATGGCTGAGGCCTTTTGAAATCCCAGTGAAAGCAGCAATCCTACAAGCAATTAAGCAGCAGCATCTGTTCCTAAAGCTTAGTTGAGGTCACTTGGTGTGTGCTGAGGGAATTGTATGGGAGATTTAAATGGTGCTGAATGAACCAGTGGCTTTGTTACCGTCTTGTTAAAAGTTGGGACTGAGCTGCTTTAGCCTTCTGCCTGTCACTGTGTGTAAACAATACTGAGTGCTGGTTTGTGCCTGAAGGCACAAGGTGGTGGACAGAGGAAGAGATGATGCTTGAAGAGAAGTAGTTAATCTGTGTTTTCAGGCTTCAGCACTTGTAGAAGTTTCTGCACTTCCTCCTGAAGGTTGGTTGGGGGATGCTGGCGATGCGCTTGTTAAGCTCCTATCTCTTATCCCAGGTGGCTTGGACTGCTCCATCTCTTTTGTTTCTCACGTCCTGGGGAAGGTGTGCATTCATGGAAGGCAAAGTGAGTGTTTTACAATGCTCTTTTGGGGAGAGGGAAAGTGTTTTAATGTATTAGTGTGGGACCATGACTGGGATGATGACCAATGGAAGGAATGGGAGACTGACCAGTTAATTTGGAGCTGTCCTGAGCTGGGCTGCACAGGCTGCCCTCGGCTCTCTTAAAACCTGAAGGGGAGAGCATCCTCGTCAGGATGAGAATCAGGATGGGGGTCGGGCTCTGCTCCCAGGAAACATGGGATGGGATAAGATGAAACAGCCTCAGGTTGTGCCAGGGGAGGTTTAAATTGGGTTTCAGGAAAAACTTCAGGCCCTGTAATAGGCTGCCCAGGGCAGTGGTGCAGTCACTAAATCCCTGAAGGGATTTAAAAGCTCTGTGGGTGTGGCACTTGGGACATGGTGTAGTGGTGGCACTGCTGGGTTATTGTTGGACTCAATGATCTTAGAGAGCTTTTCCAACCTAAGTGATTCCATGATTCTCTTCTATGATTTCTACTGCAGGAGCAATTTAGAACTGCAAATTGTACATTGCAGTTTTTCATGTTGTCAGGATATTGAAATTTGCAGGCTGACCTTGAGTGCCATTGCCCCAGTGCTGCCCTCCTGGGGTATTTACTGTTTTCTCTTCTGCCACAGAGGAGATTCTGGGTGTTCTGGTGCCCCGCTTGACAGAGCTCACTAAGTCAGACTGCATCTGGCAGAGGATCTGCTGGCGGCTGGTGGAGTGTGTGCCAGAGCGCTGGATGGAGGCAGTGGTCCTTGGCTTTGTGCAGAGAGCACCTGGGTAAGAGCTCTGCTTTCTCCCTGATCCAGAGCAAAGGCTGGAATTTTGTCACAAATACTTGCACAATCAGTGTCTGAAAGGTGCTATGTTTGTGTAGGTGGTTTTTTACAGTGCCATTTCCTGAGAGACTCAAGGGGTAAAGTGGTTGATTGTTGCCTCTCAGGTAGAACCTACACCATTCCTTAAGGATCTACATTGTGGCCTGCAGTGGAAAAACAAGTGAAAACATTCTTTGCCATTACTGGCTCACTGAGTTTAGAGGTGTTCTAGAGACTTGGTTGCAAATAGCTGCTCTCAGTTTTTCCTATGATTAGGAGCAGCATGACAGCAATTGCATGGATCCCTGATGTTTTGTTGTTGACCTGTCTCGCTAGGTCAGATGTCTTGTCCAGATTACTGGGGAACCTGGTTGTGAAGAACAAGAAGGCTCAGTTTGTGGTGACGCAGAAGGTGCTGCTCTTGCAGTATGGCCACACGGTGAGGACTGTGGGGAACAGCACTGCAGGAGTGCCTGGTTTTCCCCAGTGCCAATGTGTTTTTTTTAGCGAAGCTCTTGCTCTTCCTGAGTAAGATGAATTTATTCCAAAATGAGCCCTCAGTCTCTCCACATATGTGCAGCTGTTCACAGACAGAGGAGTGGTGAATGGTTGCTTTGAAATCATGGAGTTCATGTGCTCGCTCAGGGTTGATGGTGATTGGCAGAATTACTGTACTCTTTCTCTGGAACCAAGTGGTTGTTTGCACATGGTTTCAGTGTTCTGGGGAGCTGGAGACATTCAGTTATTTAGAATCTGAAAGAGGAGACTGAAACAACCATAACCCACCCTCGGAGATAAGAATTAGATCAAAGAGATGAGGCAAGGACTGTTGTTTTTTTTTCCTGTGCCCCTAAGTTTGTCACGAGGTGTTAGGAAGTGTTCTGTGGCTTGTGCTACTGTTGTGAGAGATGTTCTCCAGACTTTGTGAGTTCTGTGTTTGCCTGGGACTGTGCTGGTTTTATTGGTGAAAACACTGCATTGTATTCCTGTCATGCCTTCCCGTGTGTTTCATCAGCAACTGCATATGTGTGTTTGGTTGTTTCTTAAAATTTGCTTACTTTTCTGTCTCTGAATGTTGTCAGAATGAAGTTTAATGTAGTAAAAACACAGCCCTGTCTGTGTTGGGTGACAGCTTTGTGCCCAGTTAAAGCAAGAGCTGTGGTTCTCGTTGCAGACGGCGGTGCTGCAGAACCTCCTTGGGTACCTGTCCCTGGACAGCCTCCGGCGGGCCCTGCTGCTCAGAGTAAGGGTCACCAATGTCATTGGTGAGGTGTCTGATGGAGAACACTCTGCTCTGTGTGTCTGAGGGGTGCACAGTTCTGGTACTTCTCCAAGACCCTTTGGTTACTGTTGATGAGAGCGAGGGAAGCCCTGACATATCACAAGTAAATAGTGGTACACAAATCAAAGCTTGTTGCGCTGCTGGCATTAGTTTTTTGTATTTAACTGGTAAATTGTCTTCCAAGTAGCAAAACTAATGAGGCTTGGATTCTGACTGATGTTCCATGTCCTCTGTCCTTCTCGGCTTCCTCTCTCACCCTGTTTGTGTGGCTGAACCGGTGGCAGCAAGGGATCAAGTTGGTGGAGAGCTGTCTGTGTGCCAAATGGTTGATGCTTCAGAATCTCTCTCATCTACATTTTTCTCAGTGGGGATGGCAGATATTTTTCCTCTCCAAGTCAGCAGTGTGATGGAACTTCTGTGAAATTTGCGTATCTGGAAATCTCTACCATTTTGTCAAATAATTTTTTTCCCACTGGTTACATGTTCTGAAATGATCTGGAAGTACTGAAAGCTATTTAAAATTGGACTAAAACCAGATAAAACAATATGCTATCATACTGAGTTTTGAAAATAATACACATTGCTTTGCATATAATATTTATTTATCAGAAATAAACATTTATAATTTTTAAATTTAAAACCCCATTATATTTAACAATATCTTAAATGAAGGTCAAATGGAGTTCTTAGGTGGTCAAACACAGTATGCTTTGGGCCCTGAAATACAAAGTTAGCTCTGTTTGTAGGGAGACTAAAAATGTTCTTCAAGAAATTACTTCTGTGTAGAAAAGATCCGTTTCAAGCCAGCCTGAGTTCTCTGATTCAGGTGCTGCAGGAGCTGTTGGAGACCTGGGGCAGCAGCAGTGCTGTGAAACACTCACCACCCGAGCAGCAGCTGTATATTAGCAAGGCCATCCTCATCTGCCTCTCCCACCTGAAGGAGCCTGAAATCGAGAGCTGCAGACAAGGTGAGGTCCTGTGAGAAGCAGAGCTTAGATTTGTTTAGCAGAGAGTCTTACTAGGAGTAGAAAAAGATCTCATTCTGATCTGTGGATAAGCACAATGGCCCCACCTTCTCCTTGGCAAACAGGGTAACCTGTTGGAATCCTCTTTTGCATTGACATGATATAATTCCAAGTGCATAGCTTTAAGTTATGGAATTGGAGAAGCTTATCTTTGCCCTAAGGGTCTTAACTGAGCAGTGGTTTAGGAACCCCAAAGTTTTGTCACAGGAAAACAAGGGTTGACTCTGGGACTAGTGAGAGGAATGGTGTGATTTGAGCTTAACCGTGGAGCATGGGTACAACTCCAGAGGGGATGGGGAAGGTATCTGAGGGTTTGGTTGGTGTCTGACTGTCCATTTGCGTTTCTCTGTGTCACTGCTCCACTCACCTGAGCTGAGCAGGGATAGTGAGTCACTGGCACAGACCTCGTGTTCTCTGTTCACACAGTGTGGAGCTCACTGGGGTCCTGGTCTAAAATCTCCGCTTTTGTTGCAATAAAAAAAGTGCTGTACAATGTCTAGAGTTACTTCTCTGTGTGTGTGGCTCATGGGGGGTGCAAAGGTTGCCTTCAAGACTTGCTCATCTCTTTCATTCTGGAATTAACTGTTCTTTAGATGAATAAGTGACCTGATATGTACTAACAGTACTGTAGTTTTATAGTCAGTTTTTTTATCTGACAGCTTTTGAAAAATAAGCTTTCTGTGATGAAGGAGGTCAGTCTGACAGCAGTAAGCCTGCCTGGTAAAGCTGACAGCCAGCATCTTCTGTGGGCTGAGAAATACTTGTGTCATCTGCCTGTTTGAACTTACCCAAGTGGTTGGGGAAATCTCTCTCTCCGATTATTGTACTGGTCAGAACCTGTAGCTTCCTCAAAACATGGTTTTTTATTTAAGTGACTTCAAAGAACTCTAAAACCAAACTAAAGATTAACTTGACTTACCATCCTTTTTACGTTTCAGCAAAAAACAAAATATTGCAAATTCAGAATATATTGTAATGTTTTGTTGACTTTGTACCCCATGGAAGGGCCAGGGCCTCCTGTGCTGATGCTGAAGGGCAGTGCTGCCACTGCAGAGGTGGAAGGCACAGTTCATGGGCTCTTTCTACCCAGTGGTGAGTGGGTAAAGCTGCCCTCAGGAAAGATGGGTGTTCGTTTCTGTCACTGTTTCATGCACCATTTGTTGGTTGTTTTTTTCAGAGCTTCTCACAAGCATGATGGAGGGTGTGAAGTGCCACTTGGACAGCAGTCTGCCACAGCTCCGGCGTCTGGGAATGGTGGTGGCAGAGAGCATCAGCTCCAAAATAAACACGGAGGGGCCTGTCCTGAAGTTTGAGGTGAAGGTTTTAATGAAACTTATGACTGATGTGTGGGGCTTAGAGGAAATAAAAGCTTTAAACCATGTGATCAGGGCATTTTAGCACTTTTTTTATCTGGAAATAAGGAGGGACAGCAGCACCTTCAAAAAGAGAGGATATCTGTTTACAGAAAACAATTGTATAGGAAATGGTCGGGTGGCTGAGGGTGACCTTAGGAATCCAATCTGCTGCCAGAGTTCAGAGTAAACTGTTGGTAATAAAAGAGGTTTACCACATTGTATGAGGGAATCAGAATCTGACCCATAGGAGTTGAGAGGGAACTTCAAACCTAAACTAGTAGTGAGCATTTAGTCCCTGATATGGTGGGAAGACCTGCTCTGAACTGGGATTTTCAAAACTGATGTGGAGATACATGCTCTGCTCTTTCCAGTAGAATTTTTGTGACTTATCTGATTAAATCACATTAATTCTTTAAAAGCCTGCAGCATCCCTCATGTCACATTGCCATTTTTTAAATGTTTTAAAGATGGAAATAACATTCAGACAGGGTGTGATCAGGTACTGTTGTTAAATACAGGGACAAAGATTACATATGCAGAATAAATACAGTGCTGCTGGCAGTACAGGGATTGAAACAAATGGAGTTGGTGGGGGTTCATCTGCTCGTGGTTCAGTCCATGTGCAGTACAAGGGTGAAATGTTGTATGTCATATCTGCAATAAATAAGAGTGCCGCAACAGTTATTCTGAATGTCTAGTATGAAGAAGATGATGAAACAAGAGAATTGAGGTCCCTTCTGGTACAGACTCCACCACTGTGTGTTGTCCCCAGCCTTCCAGGTGATGAGTAAGTTATGGCTACTGTTCATGCCATCTTTTTGCCCTTCTCCATGTCTTTTTTGAGTTACAAGTGAGAACTGTGTACAGTATTCAAGATGTTTTATATGTTCTTAAGCATTATAATGTACCTTCTTCTTACAGTGCAGTGTAGTTATATTAAATTCATAATTCCAATGGTAGCATGTATTAAGAGAGCCTGTTTGATAGGTGCACATAGTGAAACTGTGGTGCGGGGGTCTTGTGTGCCCTTGGGTGCAATTAAATGGGGGTTTCTGTTTGCATCTTGGAAATGTGGCATTTGGGCCATGTGCCCCCAGCCATGACAAAAATCTGCTGCATCTGTCAGTGCTCTGAACTTCCAGGGCATCTGCTGAGGCTCTTGGAAGCACTCGGTTTGATCAGCAGAGCAATGAAGCACTTCATGTTATTAGCAGATGAAGATGCCCAGCACTCCAGGGAAGTACAAAACATTTATTGCTCGTGTTCCAGGGGCATGACCAGCATAGACAGCTTTTGAGAAGCAGAGAGATGAAAGGACAATGGCAAAGTCCACAGAAATACACAGACACAGGAAAAATATTCTCAATTATTGTATTCATCCTATTAGCAATAGTGAAAATTTTTTTTTCCCATTTCATAGAATCATGGGATGGTTTGGGTTGGAAGAGACCTTATTGCCCATCTCCTTCCACCCCCCTGCCATGGGCAGGGACACCTTCCACTAGCCCAGGTTGCTTCAAGCCCTGTCCAACCTGACCTTGAACACTCCCAGGGATGGGGCAGCCACAGCTTCTCTGGGCAACCTGTGCCAGGGTCTCACCACCCTCACAGCCAGGAATTTCTTCCCAGTATCCAATCTAAACTTAGTTCAGTTTCATTCACAGCTCCAAATCTGGTGCAGGTCAGTGTGATTGGCTATCACAATCTTTCCTTAGCAGTCCCAGGTACAGGGGAGTGCAGGGGAACACAGCAAATGAGCCAGTTTAATTTTTGTTATTCATTGCTCTTCTGTTAAGAGATTCTGCTTTTCTCCCTTTATCTCATTCTCCTTCCCAGGACTTTTTTCCTGCCAAGCTGACTGTGAGACTGCAGCAATTCTGTTCTGTTCAGGCACCAGGGGTTGGTGGGGTGGGGAGTTTCTTCCTTGTGAGTAAGGACTGTTACTGTGTTCATTTTAAAAATTCTTGTTCCTCACAGCAGGAGTGAGAAAGCAGGTGCTGCACTGCCATTGGTACCAGAAAGTAACAAGAAATCCCAGACAGCAGCCCCTGTGATGCCAGATAAGGAGTCAGATGCTGAGCTTGACAGGTATGGGGCAAGAAACAGGGAGGAAATGGAAAATAAATGGCAGATGTGGGGAGAAGGGAGCTTTCAGTACCTGCATTTCTTGGCAAATGTGATTTCTGACCTTGTTGAGCTGAGTGATTTGCAGCAGAGCAGGGCTTTGCATAAGAAATTGAGTCAATAAATTAAGCACAGCCCACATTGTGTGCAGCCACCATATGTATTCCATTTGACTTAGATACATGTTTCCTGGACATTGTGAATGTATTTACCCATTTTAATAGTGGATCTGCCATATTCTGTCACTATATAAAGAAATATGTCAATACATATGTCAATATATAAAGAAATCTCAAGAGTCAGCTTCTTGGTCACCTGACTCCTTCCTGCCCTGGACCAGGAGATCCAATTGCAGATCTGGTCACAGAACTGCTCTTTCCCTGAGAAATTCCTAGAGTTCCTAAGGACCCCTCTCAGGCCAGGCTTCAGCAGTGCTGCTGGGTGATGCAGGAGTGGTGGTGTTATGGCAGTGTATGTGCTGGTTCTTTCTCTTTGTGTCTAACTGGGGAAAGCCAGAACATCTGCACCCCATAAACCAACCCCTGCCTTTATTTCTTTTCCAGTGATGATGACCTCGTCCCTTATGACATGTCAGAGGATAAAGAGCTGAAGATTAAGGCTCCTGTGTATATCCGAGACTGCATTGAAGGTAGGAGATTTTGGGCTGAGTCGTCATCTGTTTTTTACCAGGTGTGGGGAGAGTGATCTCTGTGCAGGTTTATTTTTTCTGAGCTAATTTGAAGAAGCTGTAGGATTTTTGAGTAGTTTCAGTTTAGTTCCTGGTGCTGGTCATGCTGGGTCAGTGGTACCTGCCTGTACCAGGACAAACCATTGGCAGCAGGAAGTTGGGGTATGTACACCAAGCACAGCAGAGTTAATAACTTTTATTTGTCTTTTGATTACCTTCAGTTCTGACAGGATCTGAAGATGTGGACAAATGGGAGGCTACAGTCAAGGCTCTTGAGAGCTTGATTCGGAGGAATCCAGCAGCAACAAGAGAGGTGAAGTAGCAGAACCCAGGTTACCAGTGGGCTGCAATACCAGAGGGCTGTCATGAGGAGATGAGATGTGCCAATGGAGCAGCAGGCCAGGCTAATGTGTACCTGGGTTTAATGTACACATTCCCAAGCTTTCAACTTGGGAAGGGAAATAGATGGAAGTAGTTGCCTTGAAGGTGAGGCTCTGGAGCACAAAGAAACAAAGAATTAGCAAAGGTGCTGGCAGCCCCATGGTATCCAGCAGCTTCAGCACTCAAAATGAAATGTGCTGTGAGGAGAGCTTGCCTGTATGAGGAAGCTCCATGGTTTGTGCTGGGCAGGAAAAACATCAGAAATGCAGATTACGGAGCAACTATGTTGGATTTTGAAATGAAATTCAATTTAATTGTTAATCCCCAACAAAAAGGGAGGTAAAATCAAACGGACTTTTCCCTTTTTGCTTGTAGAAGCATAATGTCTTCTGAGGGGAATAGTTGGATTGTATGGTCAAGATGAAAAGCTCAGGTGAGAGGAACCTGGGACAAGGTCACTGTGCAAAGAATGCTCACCGCCACCTGTTAGTGAACACTTGAAGGTGGCAGAGACACAGGCTGAGAAACGGGAGGGGTGTGGTCCTGTACCCTTAACCCATCAGCTATCCTGTATCATGATGCCACCACTTCTCCAGAAAGCCCAAGTGAATCCGGACAGAGAATTGGCAGACAGGGGGGTTGCTCAGGGTTTTGAGAAATCTGTCTTGATGGCATTTGGTTTAATGTGTTTTCTCTCCCTCCTAAGTGATGGACATGTTGCCTATATGGATTGTCTTGGTTTAAACATTAGAAATGGTGTGTAAAGGCCATGAGAAAAAAAAAAAAAACCACCATCAGAGATTTGATTCCTTTTTTCGTATTTTGAGCAGGTTAGTGTGGAGCTGGCAAAAATATTATTGCATTTGGAGGAGAAGACCTGCATTGAAGGCTTTGTGGAGCTCCGTCAGAGAGCTCAAGTAGCTGTTTTAACCACAGATCCAATACCTGTGAGTCCCTCTTACTGCTTTCTTTTTTCCATTTGAGGCACAGGCAAAAATTGGAAGCAGCTGAAGTCTCTTGCTGGTTTGATAGAGGCAGCTCCTTGTCAGTGGGGTAGAACAGGTAGATCAGGTCTGACATTTATGCAGCTGAAGAATCTGCAAGGAGTGACTGAACCAACAGGAAAGAGAAAACTGTCAGACTGGAGGGACTGTTTGAGGCTGTTGGTAAGAGTGTACCTGACAAGGCAGGTTAGATAAGGACTTGTTGTACTGAAGGGTGTCACATAGAGGGGACCTGAGGCACAAAGGGCTTCTAGAGAGAAAGACTTCACTGGTGATTGTAATCATGGAATCACAGAACTGTTTGGATGGGAAGGGACCTTTAAAGCTCACCTCGTTCCACCCCCTGCCATGGGCAGGGACACCTTCCACTAGCCCAGGTTGCTCCAAGCCCTGTCCAACCTGGCCTTGAACACTCCCAGGGATGGGGCAGCCAGAGCTTCTCTGGGCAACCTGTGCCAGGGCCTCACCACCCTCACAGCCAAGAATTTCTTCCTTACATCCAATCTAGATCTATCCTCTGCCAGTTTAACACCTTTACCCTTCATCCTATGAGTACAGGCCTTGGTAAAAAACCTCCCTCTATCTTTCCTATAACCCTCTTTAAGTACAGAGAGGCCACAGTGAGGTCTGCTAGCTGTCATGGCAGTTTTTTGGGTGCTTCTGTATAGGAGGGACAGAAAAATTAGAAAGTCCCATTTGCCATTTACTTCTTTTGGGAGAACCTGGAAGTGTCTGAATTTCCCCTGTTTACACAGCATGTCTCTTCCCTTCCCTTGGAAGCCTGTCATTACTTCACAGGAAGCGGGCCCTGTGAAATGAAATGCTTTTAGAGTTAGTGGGAAGGCTGTTTCCAACCTGGGTCTGCGTTCACTGTACCCTGATTTTTCTGTACAGGTTTCAAAGTACTTGACCTCCCAGTTCTACTCTCTTAACTACAGTCTCCGTCAGCGCATGGACATCCTTGATGTGAGTGTTCTCACTTCCCACTTGCCTTTGTCTGTTGCACCAGTGCTGAGGTGTAATGGGGTTACCTTTCATTCCTCATGGGAGGAGGCAGAGGCAGGGGAATCTCTACATTTGTATTTGTGCCTGGCATTCCCCTCTTGTTCCTAACCCTGCTACACTCCATGACACAGGGATCCCTCCCCCCAGAACGCAAAGCATTTGTTGGGCATTTGCCTGGGAGAAGCCACAGTTTCCTTTCCCTTCATCAGCCTGTTCTGTCTTCCTTTTCTGAAAGAAAATCTACCCATGACTCCTTCCACACCTCTGTTTGAAGGAGCTACTGCTCTGCTTCAGGGCTCAGTGACCAAGTGCTTGGTCAGTGCTTCGAAGCCAGGTGGCTTTTGGGGTTCAGTTCCCTGCTGTTCTTCACTCTAAACCTGTTGTGCCTTTCTGCCTTGTTGCTCCTGTCAGTTTGGGTGCAGGGGACTGTTGTTCCCTAGGGGTTACCCCTTTTTAACTGAACATCTCTCTGTTTCATCCAGGTATTGGTTTTGGCAGCTCAGGAACTGTCCTGTCCCAAATTCCATGGGAAGCCCAAGCATTCTGATGCCCAAAAACCTCGTATCCAGCTCCTTCCTGGAAATGACAGCTCTAAGGACTGGAGAAGAATTGTTGATGAGAGGATCAAAAGCAAGACTCGGAGATTTGCTACGGTGAGGCCAGGGCAGAAACAAACTAAGGTCAAATCCAGCAAAAATAGGGACACTCAGACCTGCTGTAGTTCTGTCTGGAAAGAGCAAAAACCCATGAAAGTGGGCCCAGTCCAAAGGAAAACTCTGTAACTACTAATATAAATGTATCTTGGTATCTGGCTGAATCTTTTGGTGCAGAGTACCAATTCCTGCAGTTCTCTCCCAGTAGGGAGAGGAAAATAAACCTAGAACTCCTTACCTGGCTTTGAGAGATAGTGGCTGTTCTGAGCTTGTCTGGCCGCTGCAGGGAGCTGTGACTGCACCTCACAGATCCCAGACTAGCTGCCTCTCGACTGGACTGCCTCAGCCTTCCTATTTTCCAGGGAGATAAACTGATGACAGTTTCCTAGTTCCCAGAATTCCCCTGTGGTTCAGCCTGGAGAGTTTGCTTTCCAAAACTCCTTTATCCCTTGCTTGTTCCTGTTCCTTATATCTAACCCAGCAGTACTGAGCTATATTGTACTGAAATGTTTAGATGTGGAGAGGATCTGAAGTGGGAAGTGAGCAATCCAGTCAGGAAACTGGTAGCCATGGGTCTACAAGCAGTGGCTGGCTGCAAGGAATCTGTTGTCATGGTAGTGTCCAGTGAAGTGGAAGAGCTGGGTGCTGCATCTTGTGTCTAGACTTCATTTTTCTCTTGGACAGCGTCAGTGTCACGTGGAACCAGCTTCCAGCCCAAACCAGTTCAGTTCTGTTGCTGGGCACTTCTTCTTTCCATTGCTTCAGCACTTTGACAGGTGAGTGTGAACACCTTGGGTATGGGTATGGCAGCTGCCAGAGTAAACCTTTCTGCTTGTTCTCTTGCCTCAGAGCAGCAGGCTAAAGCCCAGGAGCTGTGCAGGAGCCCAGTGACACTGCACTGACACCAGGGTCATTCACAGAGCTTGGAAAGGCCTGTGGGGCAGGCGTGTGTAGGACCCTGAAGAAATGAGATCCATCACGAGGGATAATCTCACAGACAAGTGATTTTGGCAGCACCACACCAGTTGTCTTGGCTGAGCCTCCACTGTGGGAGGTTCACACAAACCACAGAGCTCAGACTGCAGTCTGGAACCAAAGTTAACTCTGTCTCAGGTGGAGGCTGTATAGGACACAGGACATGGTCAGTTCCTTAAGTCTTTGCTAACCTAAGAAGGCCAAGTAATCGATTCCATGATAATCAGGATTATTGTAATACTAGTTGTAAGGGTATGGCAGTGGGGGCAGTTTTTGCCTGCAGGTCTTTCCAAGTAAGCCTGTTGGTGAAATGAGTGATAGCTGCTGTAAGAGTAGAGGATATTGCTGTGGGAGATACTGGACTGGGATAAAAGATGAGAGCAAACAGCCATGGGCTGTGTTAATCTGGTAGTGACTGTACAATGACTGTTGTAGGGATTCAGCCTTAAGGGGAACAGTTCCCCCTGCATAACTCCCCAGCTGTTCCAAAGATGTACTGATCAGCCTTCTCACTGCTACACGACTCTGTGTCTTGCAGGCCTTTGACAACATTTGATCTCCTGGGGGAAGATCACTTAGTCCTTGGAAGGCTGGTCCACACTTTAGCAGTGCTGATGTACTTGGCTGTCAACGCTGTGGTAAGGAAGGGCAGAGAGCAGGGGAGACTTCCAGGTGCCTTCTGGAACAGCAGTGCTCTGGGGCCTGCTGCACTGGGCTGGCAGCAACTCTGCTGTTGTGTGGGCTGAGAAGCTGTGAAAGGGGCTGGGACAAATCAGTCAGAAAAGAGACATTGGATTCAAGCCACCCTTGCACTATCTTTTGTAGAAAAACTGTGAGCTTCTTTGGGTGGTTGAGCACATCATTTCAATTTGCTGCCAAAGTTTCCTCATCTGTAAAATGCATTTAATTGTAGCCCTGATCTTTACAAAATCTTTGTTCAAGGAGCATTTGGACAATGCTCCCAGGCACAGGGTGGGATTGTTGGGGTGTCCTGTGTGGGGCCAGGGGTTGGACTCGATGATCTTTGGGTCCCTTCTAGCTCAGGACATGCTGTGACTCTGTGAGCAGTGTGTCTCTGTGGGGTGGTGTGGATGGGAAGGTGTTCAGTGCTGTCACAACCCTCTTTTGCAGGCAGTGACAGCAATGGGAAAGGCACTGCTGGAGTTTGTTTGGACTCTGCGTTTCCACACGGACTCGTGAGTTACTCTAGTTGTGTACTTTCATTTTTAAAGATCAGCTGTGAGCCAGTCTCCAGCCATGATTTGTCTTTGTGCAAGACTAGCACCTGACTCAGGGTGTCAGAGACTTAATGCAATAAGTCTCTGCTCTCCTCCAGCTGAGTGTAATGCCAGACCAACACATGAACTTGGCTGATGTCTTCCAGTGTGGCAGTACAGCCGTTACCTATAGAAAGCTTGACAAATTTCCTGACCACCTGTCCATGTGATGGTTTCATCTGTGTTTACTCAGGGAGCTCAGAAAACTATAGGTTCAATTCTAGCATTCAGCCTTGGAAAGGAATTAAGACATGTAGCCAAAAGGCTGTAAACATCCAGTTTCTAGTTTGATCTCAGACTTGTCCAGGGCTCTCAATTACACCAAACTCTTGCCTCACAGCATGCCAGGGGCTCTGGATGTGGGCACGCTGCTAGCTGGTGCATGATTACACCACTAATCAGCAGGAATGTGGCAAAAGTCATCATACCTTTTGAAACTGGAGAGCTCCTGAGGTGAGGAAATCAAGGTGCAGGCTCTAACCAGTTCTTCTCCACAGGTATGTGCGCCAGGGCCTCTTGTCCTGTATCTCCTCCCTGCTCCTCAGTGTCCCTGCAGAGCTGCTTCTGGCAGACATGACAGAGGAACTGTTGGAGACTCAGTCCTGGCTGGGAGGTAAGACATGGTGGGGTAGACCAGTGCTTTTCAGGTTAGTGGTGCAGTCTGTGTGCAGCATCTCTTTGATTGTGAGGGCAGCAGTGATGCCCTGGCATTGTGCACCAGAAATTTGCATGATCAGCAAGTGGCAGAGCACCCTGTGTGCTGCAGGGGTTCAGTACCCAGGTACCTGAGGCATAAGCCAAGAGCTGTGTGCGGCATCTCAAACTGTGACTGTCCTCACAGGCCAATGAAAAAAATCCCCAGAGGTGTTCTGGGCCCCCTTTCTCTGTCTGAGCATCCAACCACCCACCCAGGAGGGGGGGTTGTTAGTGCTACAATCAAGAGGAAGAGGAGCATGGCTCCATCTCTCACTTCCTATTGCTGATGGAAAGAACAATCTACACTGCGCCCAGTGCACTCGAGGTCAACACAAGCTGTGTCCTTGGGTTCTGCACATATCAGTGCTCGGGTACTGCAGGGAGCTGGAGCTAACAGAGGAACTAATGCTGAAGCCTCCACTGTGTTCTCAGGGTGACTCCTATGACTCCCTGGTCTGGTTTCCTTCACCATTCTCTCTCTTGGTGTGTGGCTTCCCACAGGGAGCAAGCAGGAAGCGACACTGACCCAGCCAGGCTCTGATCCTGGCAGGTTGGGGAGCTCTGTGCCCTTTGAAAGGAAGAGCTGCCTTGTGGGGCCCAAGACTTCACTTTTCCCATGACATGGTGTGCTCTCAGGAATCTGCTTGTCTCTGCAGTTAACACTGCTGTTACCAAGTGCAGCCTTTCAGGAATGCATTTCCAGCATGAGGAGCTGCATAATCTGTTTTTAATGAGTTATTTTGGGGAGGAGGAGGATGAGAGAACTAGTAGTAGCTTCTCATGGCTGTAGGGAGTGTAATAGCCATCTCTTTACATGTAGTGCTTTTGCAGGAAAACTACATAATTTATCCTTGTGGAAATGAGTGCAGGGCAAGATCACAGTTGTGGGTAATACCAGAGAAGGGAAAACTGCTGTAGGAATCGTTCAAAAACCTTAAAGAATTCAACTCAGCTCCACCTCTGGTCAGATGCAATTTAAAGGGCTTCTAGAGCTGCTTCCTGGAACACCCCAGCTTCATAGGCTGTGTCTTTGCTGTTTGTTCTAAGGTTGTTGGTAAAATGGCTGCACAGGGAGGCACTGCTGATCCTACAGGTCAAATCTGACACTGGAGTCCTCCTTCTGTGCCTGAATCGCAGGTCTGAGGTCACGAACTTGCTGTTTCTTCATGACTCTTCCAGACAAGATTTGCAAGAGGTGGTGTGTGTTAGCTGTGCTGTAGCTGGGAGTGACAAGCTGCCCTGCACAGGAGCCTCGTGGCTACTTTGGGTTTCAGATTAAAGCCCTGCCTTTCTCCTGCCATGGCCAAAGCACAATGATGAACACTGGGATAGGAAATTTTATCCATGAAGTGTTGAGTAGAAATCCACAAATCTGCTTCAGTTTGTTGTCACACCAGGGCCTACACAGACTGCTGTAGTGACCCTGGGACTGTGTCTGCCCTTCAGCCTGCAGACCGTCACCAGAACTGTTCACAGTGTGGACTAAGAAACTACTTCAGTCACTGTCATGGCATTGTCTGCTTACTGGATGCTTTGGGACATTTCAGCTGGGGGGGAGAGGTGAGAATCCACCTTGCACTTGTCCATCGTTGCCCTTAGTGCCATGCTGAACCTACTGGTGAGCAGCCTGATCGTTCCTAGGGGAGGGAGGGAATACCTAAACACTTCTAGGAAACAGTTCCTTTGACTCCTCAGCAGCTGCCTTTGAGGGAATTCCCCACCCCTTGCAAGTGCCGTGGAGCTGTGTCATGGCTAAGTGTGGTTTGTCAGGACCCAAAGGATACTCTGGTGCCCTGTGCCTCCCCTGCCGTGCCAGCAGTGCCAGGTCCAGGCTCACAGAACAGAAACAGCACTAGCAGCACTGTGAGCTTCTGAGCTTGTTCCAGTCTGCCTTGTAACCTCCCCTTTTGCCTTCTGTAGAGGGAGCATGGAAGCAGCATGGGGCAGCTCTCCCTGTGTTATAAATAGCCCCACTCCATGGCCATGAGTCATGTGTTTGGGCTGCCAGTGCCGGGCTCCTAGCACAGGCTCGTGCGTACAGGATATCCTCACACAGGCTCCCCGCTCTCCCAGGCTCCCCTGCTCAGACATCCTGCATGCATCCTGGTTGTTACTTTGCAGGCCTGTTAAGGGCCCCTGGAATAACAGCTGCTGGGAACAGCCTCATGCCTGCCCTAACGTGCTGCATAACATGTGGAAGAACTCATTTATCAGAGGACTGGTCTCTCAGAACGGAGAATGTGCTGAACCTTGGGGCCTGCCTCCTTTCCCCATTGGAATGGCAGCATGACCCCAAATTCAGGAGGAAGCACTGACCATTTTGGATTGGAGGAATGGCAGAATGGAGACTTTAGGCTTTGGAGAAAGTGGATTTCTAATTGCAAGCTGCATTCACGCTTGTAGCTCAGCTGTACCAAGGTTACGTGTAGCTCGAGGGCAGAAGTACAAATTCTGGCACGGAGGTTATCCCATGGAGTCCAGGATCAGACAGTGTCTATAGTGTTTCAACCCAACTATTTGTTTCTCCTACAAGACTGACCAGCGCACTGTCCTGTGTGGCACTCAGGGCTTGGCTGAGTTCATGCTGCTTTAGATGATCAAGTTTGTGCATCTCTGCCTTCAGGCCTAGTGCAGTTCTAGCCCAGCCACAGGTGCAAATGCTGTTGTATTTAGTCCTGTGATTGTCAGAGATAGTGAGAAGTACCCATTTTCCAACTCTCAGCAGCTGCTTCTTTTGCAGATATGGTGGAGAAAGATCCTGATGGGGACTGCAGGAGGCTGGCCCTGCAGAACTTGCTGCTCATGGAGAACCTGAAAAAGAAACTTGAAGCTGTCCCTTCCTAGCTGAAAGGGTAACAGAAGTGGCCTTTAGCTCGTGCTCTTGCCAGCTGGATGTGTTTGGGCACTGCTGGGGCCTCTTCAGCAGTCACCTGGCGGGAGGAGAGGAAGAAGGGGGAAGGGTGCTGAGCTGTGAGCCAGCAGGTCTGACTTGACATCTGGACTTTGTAGTGGAGGCCAATTGAGTGAGCTCTTGGTATCCGGTACAGCGAGTACAGATGCAGGAAGGCAGCGAGCACTGCCATCCTCCCCCAGCCCCCACCCAGCTATTTATAACCCTGGCAGGTCTGAGCACTCAGCTAAAAATACGGGGAAGATCTCATGGAGCCTTCTTGTCAGACAAACAGGAGGGCTGGGGACGGCCACTTGCCACTCTGACCTGCCCCTGACAAAGGCTCCTGCACCCCTGAGCAGGCAGTTTGGGGTGACAGCTGTTGGCCTGCTGCTGGAAGGGGTGGCATGGAATGGCACTGCTGATGGGATGCAAACACTGGATAGCTACACTGAACTGCTGAAAATGTGCTGGACCTAACTAACATTCAGATTTTGACCTTAAAATCTTCCCCGCTCTTCTTCTCCGAAAGCAATTTAAAAACTTTATATTCACCCCAAGTTTTGAAGCAAGTCACAAAACATGAAAAAGAAAAATCATTTAAGCAGTTCTTACTGGTTTTTTTCTGTCTCAAATTTATTAAAATACTAAAGCCAGGTTTTTAACAGGATGTACACATGAACCTCTGTATGTTGTGTTTGAGAGAGCCTATTAACTCCAATACTGTTGCTTGTACAGTCAAGCAGGAAAACTAAATTCCTTGGTAATAACCAAAAAGCCCTGTGGCAGCAGCACGTGACTGATCCGGGACCCCTAATGAGGGTGCAATAAAAGACCTGGCATTAAAGTCAGCTTTGCAGTGTCAGGAGTTCTCCACTTCATCAGCCACTTCTTCTTCCACCTCCCTGTTGTCTGTGTGTGCTGGAGCCAGGGCTGGGCTTAGGGGCACGCCTGCCCCTCGGTGCACGGCCTCCAAGGTCTCTGGGGACACGAAGTAGCTCAGGTGGGAGGCTGGAATTCTCTTCTGCATCTCTTCCAGGCAGCGGTAAGCCTAAAGGAATGCAAAGATCACTGTCAGGGCTGCAGTGCTACAGGCCCCAGTAATCCATTTAATGTGCTTTTCACATCAGAAATGAGGTTAATCAGCACAGCTGGAGGAACTTGCCCTTGGCATCCTCACCTTCCATCACAGCAGCAGGTCACAGTTCAGTGGGAGCACTGGGGGGGTGTGGCACATCTGCCCTGAAGGAGTGATTCACCATTTCCTCAAATAACTGCAATTTTACAGTTTGCTTTTTTCTCTGGCCAGGTGGCAAACACAGTGTGGTGTGATTGCTGAGGCACTCACCCAGACAGACCCTCTGTTCTCATAACTGGGAATGCTTAAGAATCCACCACCATTTTTGCTCTGTGTGATGGGAGCTTTCTTTTTCTCTTTGCATCCCATGAAGTGAAAAATACGTAGTTCCTGAGCTGTGCCCCACCCCGCTGTGCAGTTCAGCTCCTGCTGTGGAATGCCTACCTCTGTGAGAGCCACGCTCCACCAGGCTGCACAGGTGTACAGTATGGGCTCTGTAGGTTGGAAGAATTAAGGCTTCACTCACCATGTGGAATTCCTCCACTTGTGCATAATGCTGAAGCAGAAATCCCAGAACATCTCCGTGCCGGAGGGCATCGTCAAAGTCCTGCTCAGCCAGGAGCAGTTCACACTGCCTGACTGCTTCCTTGGGGTCCTCAGGGTAAACTCTAGTAAAGGGCAAAAGGCAACTGTCACAGCCCAGGGAGTGTTCAGCTTGTCAGGCCAAGGACAGGGAAGAGGTTTTGCTGAATTACGTTTCATGAGAGAAACCCAAACAAAACCCAGAATTCCTCCATGTCCTGGGCTGATCCCCCAGTGTGGGCAGCAGGGGAGGGGGGGATTCTGCCCCCTCAGGTGAGACTCCCCTGCAGAGCTGCCTCCAGATATGGGGAACAATAGCACAAGGATGTGGAGCTGCTGGAGAGAGTCCGGAGGAGGCCATGGAGATGCTCCCAAGGCTGGAGCCCCTCTGCTCTGGAGCCGGGCTGGGAGAGCTGGGGGTGTTCACCTGGAGAAGAGAAGGCTCCAGGGAGAGCTGAGAGCCCCTTCCAGGGCCTAAAGGGGCTCCAGGAGAGCTGGAGAGGCACTTTGGACAAGGGCCTGAAGTGACAGGACAAAGGGGAATGGCCTTAAGCTGAAGAAGGGTAGATGGAGGTTGGGTATTAGGAAGGAATTCCTGGCTGTGAGGGTGGTGAGGCCCTGGCACAGTTGCCCAGAGAAGCGGTGGCTGCCCCATCCCTGGAAGTGTCCAAGGCTAAGTTGGACGGGGCTTGGAACCGGGATAGTGGAAGGTGTCCCGGCCAATGGCAGGCGGTGGAACAAGATTGTCTTTAAGTCCCTTCCAACCCAAACCATTCTGTGATAATCACCTTTCTGGCTACACCTCCCTTGCTCCAGACACTTCCTTCTCTTTCAGGCTGCCTTTCCACCTTTAATGTCAACAGCACTTCTAAAAATCACGTCATGGTTTCCCTGCCAGAAAAGTGTCCCACCAGCTTTTAGAAGCGAGGCTGCAAATTATTTTTTTAACTGCAGGTGCTGGTACAACTTCTGTTCTGGTAGGATATTTCTGTCACTTAGTTTCCATGCTCCGTGTGCTGCAGCTCACCTCTGAGCATGGATGAACCGCTTCATCAGGGTCATCCTGCTTTGCAGGTGGGCAAGTTTGCTTTCCTGTTCCACAGGGCTTCTGGCCTTTGCCTTGGAAAGGCACTTGTAGGCTTCTGCCAGCGCTCTGTGGGCTTTCTCATAGCTCTGATACTCATCAATCTCTACCTGCAAGAGGAGAAAGGAGATGAAGGTCTTGCTCCAGAGCTACCAAACCAAACGTTCAGCAGTCACAGAATGGGCAGTACCTGAGCACACGCATCATAGAAACCTGCCAGGAGGTCAAGGGCCCTTGCTTTGGTGTAGAAGCTGATGATGTTCGCAATAATCTTTGCATCCTTACGCCAATCCAGCGACTGCAGGTAGTTGGCTGCCATGATGTAAATCTCTCTCTGTCTGGAAACTCCCGCAAAGAAGACAATTTTCTCGGTATCCCCAGATTTCAGCAGTGCCCTCATAGCCTGGCAATGGAAATGGGGGCACGGGGGAGAGAGGGAAAATACTGTGAATGCAAAAACACCAGGCAAGATGGCTCAGAAGCTTTGTCTGGGTAGTTACTGTAGGAAGTCTGCTCCAAGGTTTACTTTTCAAAACACCCTTGTTTTGAGGCCATCCAGGCTGACCTTTAACTTATTTCCTGCTTGTGTGTATTTCTTTGTGGCCATGTGATAGTTGCCTTGTCTCATGCAGCAGTCGGCAATTTGCTCCAGCAGCTCCCTCCGGGACTCCTCAGGGAGGTCCTGGGAGTCCTTGGAGACCGTCATCTTCTCAGCCAGCTCCTCGGTGATGGTCATGTTCTGCTCCAGGCAGAGCTGCAGAGCTTCGTGGTACTGGTGGGAGCAAGGGAGCAATGAGATGTTGCAAACACTACTGTGATACCTCACGTTGCTTGTAGTGTAACCTACAGAAACCAGCTACACACAAAAGCAGCTGAGGATGCTCTGGAACACGGGTGTAGTTACATGCCCCGATGTCAGCCCCTGTTCAGGCACACACTGTCCCATTTTGTTTGCTAAGAACATGTTTGTTCTTCCATGACACCACTGGTTCTCACCTGTTCTCTCAGTGGACACAAGGCTGCCACTGAAGATTGAGTCATTTGGACTCTGAATTTTCAGTCATACAAGATTAATTCAGATTTGTTAGGCATGATTGATAACATTAGGTTTTCAGCAAGTACAAATAAATTGAAAGACTTTGTGAAATATTTTGGTACTTCCCTTATTGGAACAAATTCTGACTAGGTTATACAAGAGCTTTTAGCCCAGAAAAGGGCTACTGTGCCCTTGCAGAACATGGCAGAAAGGCAGCCAGAGGAGTGGGCACAGGATGGGTCTGGTACCCAGCACTCTGGCAAGGTGCTGAGTCCTTGGCTTGAGAGGAAACTTTAAACCCTGCAAGTGTCTCTGTGTATCTGTTTACCTGTGCAGATAAATGTCTGTATGCAGGTACACACCTCCTCTACCTGTGCAGGGGGAGCCAGAGGGCTCAGCTCACCTTCTTGGCCGTGAGGAGCAGCTCCATTGCCTTCTCATACTGAGCGTGTTCCACGAAGAACCTGGAGCAGCGGGCGAGCAGGGCCGGGTCTGACTTCTCATCCAGGTCCTCAGCAATGAGCTGCAGGGCCCCGAACTGCTGCGTGGCAAAGGCCAGCTCCAGGGCTTTGGAGAAGTGTCCTGCCTGCAAAATTACGAATGAGGCTTCAAAGACTAAAGTACTACAGAGCCAGTTCACAGGATGCCCTGGAAAGGGTTAATAAAGCATTACCCACCACAAAGAAATGACTAATCATCAGGATATAGTAAGAACTACAGTTAATTTAACATTCCTCTGCTGTAGGAACTGCTTTGTTTAGGGTTTGAGAGTTTTTACTAAAAAAATATTTACCTTGTGGTATAACATGACAGCTCTGTCCATCTGCTCCCCCTTTTCCTCATAATAGCAGGCTGCCTCTATCATGTCTTCTGGTGAGCTCAGGAGAGCCAGGTTCATCAGCTGATCATCTAAATTGTTTGCCTGTTCAAAAGCAAAGGTTTGGCTCGGGGTGTGCAGACACAAGTTTTGTAATTCTGGCAAGGCTGTGGCTTTGTGCTGTCACACAGTATAATACCATCACCCCCTTCTGTGTAAAACCTCTATAACTCCAGTGACTTTGAGCTTCAATTATGGTAATTTCTTTCAGGCAGTTTCTGATGAGCTGTACAACAAAATACTGTCCCAAACCACCAAAGCTGCATTGATCCACCTTTGGTAGAAGATGGCAGCAGAAAACAGGAGCACCTTCACCGTGGGCTGTCCATGAGCAGGCAGTGTCTCACGGGAGAGAATGGGCACAAACACCTCATTCTGCCTTCCCTGTGTGCTGGTTTTGGGGCCAGCTGTCCCTCCCCCCGTACCTTACAGAGGCGGATGGCATTGTTGAAGGCCTGGGCCCGGGTGTAGAAGTGCACGGCCTGTTTGATGTCCTCCTGGCTCTCGTACTGCCGGGCCAGGTGGTAGGAGGCTGCCCAGTTCCCTGTCTTGTTTGCAATTTCAGCAGCCTGCAAAGGGCATCACATGGCTTTACTTGGTGCCTGTGCCCATCCCAGGAATGAGAGCTCTGGGAGCAGGTGGGAGTAGGCTGCCTCACCTTCTGAATGTTGCCCTGAAAGCAGTGGACACGGACGAGGGAAAAGTAATCCTGAGCCAGTGCATAGTATTGCAGCGCGGATTCCAGGTCTGACTGGCTCTCCAGGTACTGCGCCCACCACTTCCACAAGCTCCTGGAAAAGCAATGGTATTGACTGCAGTAACAAGAGGCTGTGTTTTTCACTTCTGGAGAGCTTGAATACAGACTAGATGAGTTTTTTAGAACACAGGCTTCACCTCAACCCAAGGGTGACACTGCAAGGTCTGCACTATACAGGAGGTCAGCCTGGAGAACCAGTGTGGCAGTTCTTAAGCAAGATAATCTTGAAAAGCTGTGGGAGGATCATAACATGGATGAGGCAGGGGTTGAATGTGGCTGAGAGGAGTCACACTCCTCCATCCCTGCTTTCATCATGAGTTGTATTTCAGACCTGACAGCCCCATGCGGGAGAAGGAATGAGCTAGCACTGACTTGTCTTTCATCTTGTTGACATAGTTCTCCAGGGCTTGTAAGTCTTCAGAGAGCATTCGGGGCACCTCGAACCTGTGTGTGTCTGACTTCTCA